GCAATCGTATATAGTCGTATTGCATCGTATACGGCCGTCGTATACAAGCACCGTGTACGGCCATCGTTATTCGTCGTATTTTTTTTGTACACGGTCGTATACGATCGTAGATTTTAAACCTGGGACGCCATCTTCTATTCATTTCCTGTTACTGATCATTTTAACTAATAGAATTTATGCTCCTTGTTTCTTTCTTTATCACAACAAGATAAATACTAATAACAATAGCTCTTCAATCATTTCTATACTGTTCTTTATTCAATTGATATACACATTTTTCTCACGTATTTTATTAAATAAGTAAGTTCATAAAAAGATTCTATCCATGCAAGAAAATTTTCTTCAATAATCACGAAATAATTGATTATTTCATGATTATTGAAGAGAATTGTTTTTTTACATAGAATCATATATAAACGGTGTAGGTATTGCAAGATATCAATCAATGATAAATAGAGTAGCAAGAAAGATACTTCTATTACTAGTTTCTCTTAATTCATTTATATTAGAAATTTAAATAAATAACTCTTCTGTATCAGAATATTCTGTGATGTACTCTTCTTTTTTCTTTTTTTTTTAATTCAGTATTCGATTTCAAAGAATTATTTTTAAATAACCCAATACATTAGGATTTTGATTAGTAGTAATAAAAGATGACTATAAATCATATAGCTTAATATTATGATAAATAGTAAGACAAAGTATTTACACTAATGAATAACAGGGCCTAGGTAAAATTAGTCCATAGAATGCCAAAGATTTAAGAGCATAGAGAGATTAGTTGTATAGTTTCATTTCCATTTTTGAAGAATGAATTTATTGTCATATGAATATGAATCATCGAGCAACATGTTTCGAGTGAAATTTTGTTTGTAATTTTTAATTTTATCTTCAAAGTAGCGAAAAAAATCTTTTAAAACTAAAAGAAATAAAACAAACTTCATCAACACTAAGGTTGTCATTCATTTAACATTTAAAATGCCATCTCATCCTTATTTACTATAATAGAATTTTTCATTACTTCGAAGATAAAATAAAATATTCTAAAACAAAAATTACACTCAAAAGATGTTACTCAATTATTTACATTCATTTGACAATAAATTCATTCATTCAAAAATGGGAATGAAACTATACAACTAATCTATGCTTTTTAATTATTAGCATTTTATAAACTGATTTTATCTAAAATCTGTTGTTTATTAGTCAAAAAAATTTTATCTTTCCATCATTTGTAATATAAAAAAGTATTTGGGTTGTAGTTATTCTTTATTTGTTTTAATGTGTTTAATTAATCAATCCGATAAACTCATTGTATGCGAAATTGTTTGAAACGCTTTTGTTTTAAATAGAATTATGTAAACAACAAAAAATATTCGAAATTACGAATTTTAATGAGTTTATATATAGAACACACTAAGAAATGTTTTTCTATAAATTGTTATCATGACTTTAGCCTATAAGCAAAATGACTACAATTAAAGCGAAAAATTTCGGATAGTATTCACTGTACACAATGATTTAAATTGTATAAACCTATGAATTGTTGTAATGCATCAATTTCACATTTCATATTGCATGGATAATACCATTTTTTTAAACTATATCTATCGACAATGAGAAGCATATTTGCTATTGATAGACCGAACAAAATAAGTTTATTTTCTGAGACAACAAGTATACCATAACTTATATAAATCTATTTGCGCGATACTCTCGCATTCTTCTCTCTAGCGACACACACAGATTTTGAAAGAATTTCATCATTTGAAATAATAAAAATCCAATGTGTTAACTTTGTCACAAAAACAAATGTGATAATATCACATTGAGAAATTGAATAGATTTTGCTTTTATTTTTAGATGGATTTACCTTCATTTCACAACAATTTATTAATTTCATCTCTATTTCCATTTAAAACTGAAAATAATCAAATTCTTTCATCAAAAACGAAACGTCATAGTTTCTTGAATGGTTTAGCATTGTTACTTAATGGATCAAATCAATGTACATCGGTATATCCATGGTTAAAAAAAAACAATTACTAATAACACGTAATGAACCATTAACAAATGATGATGAAACTTATTTTAATCAATTTTTTGATTTACCCAGATCCAATAAAACGGCGATTAACGATGTAAAACGTCGATAAACGGCACCATAATCCGTCATACCAGATTACGGAAGCAAAACCGGAAAAAAACGACCGCCGTTTTCTAGCGATAGACGGTGGTCGTAATACGGTATGACGGATTACGGCGAAATAAGGCCAAAATTACTGCAGTAATTCGCCGTTTTATAGTCATTTCAGGCCGGATACGACGCCGTTTCCGACGGCCGGAATGATCCACCTGGGGATGTTATATTAAATCTTGAAAAATTACTCAATTATGATATTGATAAAATATGTGAAAATATTAATATTGGTAAATTAATACAAGGTTCAGCAGATTATATATATTTACAAGAACAAAAAATATCTTTAAAAGAATTTATTTCAATTCTTCTCAGTCGGGTTAAGAACATAATTTTACGTCGTGATTCAATTAAAATAAATAAAAACGAGTCTGAACCAAAAATGATTGAAATATTTCAAATTTATTGTGAATCATTATATCATTCTAAAATATTTCGTTCAATACTTTTACAAGTATATTCAAATGATGATGATCATGAACGTATTATATATTATTTAGATAAAGTATCTGCACATCTTCGATCACTTGATTTAATATTGAAAACTTTAGAAAAAAGAACATCTGATTATGGTGAAATCTATCAAAATATACATTGGTATTTTATTGAACCAATTGAAAATATCATTAATTTAAATGAAGCACCATCATTATCATTTGACAAAATCTGGTCAGCATGTGGTTTATTAGATGATGAAGTAAAAAATGATTTTAAAAATAATAATATTGGTGACCAATTTGATAGATATGATTCAAAATTAAAATTATCAATTTGTTTACATAGTGAAGTTCGAATGATAGATTATCTTATTGAACAAAATATACATGAAATTCAGGATAATGACATAGAAATTGGAATATCGAAATTACCATGTTATCCTTGTTCATTATATATTGAAAAATTAAATCGAAAATTCAATCGAAATTTTTATGCTACTTCAATAACTCATGGAAAAATTTATCCAAATTGGGCATTTAGAAATAATGAAGATGATGATATAATGAATTATGTTAATGATGAATTATATACATTAATTGAAAGACAAATAAAAGACTGGATACGAATTAACAGAAAAAAAATGATTGTTAATTATAAGCCAACAATAGAACTACATGGTGACCATGTCGACAATCGATTTGTGAAACGCAACAACGATTGTATTTTAGAGAATCAATAAATTTCAAGTTCTGATGGAAGACATGAACCTTTTTCTTTCTTTTTTTGATATAAATTTTTCTTTGTGAAGCTCTCATGTAATAATATGTCATTTCTTTTTCAATTTTTTTTGTCTCTACTTGTCAATTCTTTTGAATTCATGGTTTCACTTATATATATTTATACATATTACTTTTGCAATAAAGAAAGTTAAGTTGAATTCTGAAGAAAGACTCAGCAATACTTTTTTTTTATATCATTTGTGTCGATGACAATATGTTTAAGTATCAACAATAGTCTTCATGAAACAACTTTTCATTGATAAAAACAAAAAAAAAAGAACTTAATAAAATAATTGAATTTCTACAATTTCTTTTTTTAAGAATTGTGTAGTCATGGAAGATTTCACTCAATTTTATCTTATGATTAAATTGATATCTATAACACTTATTCATTTGAAGATCTACCTGAAATTATATAGACATAAATGAATAGTATCTAAAAAAGTTCAACATCGTTGATGAAACTTGAAAATATAGAATATGATAAGAAGATCTAAAATGACTTCGAAACTTATATCCTAATCAATATCTTTCAAATTCCTCAATTGTATAAACAATAATTATAAAAAATATCATCAACAGGATAATATCATTGTTGTCATTTATATATTATCAACGGCAACTATCTTATTGTATATTACTTGTTTGTCAATTTATTTTATCTAATTTTTTGAAAAAATTTATAAAAGATGCACGTCATTATGTATGTTTATTATTTTTTTTTTGTAATTAAAATGTCATAATAAACAATTAACGGATGATATAAGAAGAAATATATATGTTTCAAGAATAAATTAATATTTTCATCATGATCATCATGAATTAATTATGATTGATTAGTACTTTTATTTTTTCATTAAAACAACACATTCAAATCATGATAATCAAGATTAATGTTGAGAAAATAAATTAAGTTCTATATTTATTTTTTTTGATTTAAAATTTCAATATCATAAATAGTTGAATTCTAAAACTAATAATATTGATTTGTTTTAGAATCTATTATCATATTTATAAAAATCTTTAACAAAACAAAGACAAATAAATAAACAATTTTATTTAATCAATATTGAAAAATGAGAATTGAAAATAAAAAAAATATATTAAGATTGAAAAAATAATTTTCTATAAAAAGATTCCCTTTTCTGTCTGAAAGAAAGGGTCTTAAATTCGAAAAATGTTGCTATGTTTGTCTGTCTGTCTGTCCAAGCCAATCAGAAACGAGCTTTTCTATTTTTAGGTTTTTTCGTCATTCTGATGAAACTTTTCTATAGGTTATCGACGATGAAAAATCCGAATCCGAGGTCAGATTTTCGATCTAAGCTTTCATTGGTCGGAGAACTGGCCAATCAGAAACGAGCTTTTCTATTCTTTGGGTTTTCAACCATTTTGAGGAAACTTAGCTATCGGCTATCATGGGCGAGGAATACGAGTCTGAGGTCGAGTTTTCCATCTAAGCTTTCATTGGTCAGGAGTTCGACCAACCAGGAATAAGCTTCTCTACTTTTCGCGTTTTGCGCGATTTGGTGAAAATTTGTGACCAGTTATCGAGGGCTAGGAGTCTGAATCTGGGATGGAGTTTTTCATTCGAGCATCCACCTGTTGAAAGGCTGACCCATGAAAAAGAACTTTTACTTCTTTCGATGGTTGTGCACGTTGCAATGAAACGTCTGTAACGATAAAATGAGAAAGATGTGATGGCATGACAGACTGGAGGAGTAGCTAGCCGCTACTCGGCAATAATATTCCCTTTTCTGAAAGAAAGGGTTATACAGCGGTTAAAAAATGCTTAAAGTTTGTCTGTCTGTCTGTCCAAGCCAATCAGAAACGAGCTTTTCTATTTTTAGGTTTTACAGCATTTTGATAAAACTTTGCTATAGGTTATCGGGGGCGAGCAATTCCAATCCAAGGTCGGATTTTTTATCTGACTTTTCACTGGTCGAGAAACAGACCAATCAGAAACGAGCGTTCTATTCTTCGGGTTTTCGACTATTTTGATGAAATTCTGTTATAGATTATCGGAGGCGAGAAATCCGAATCCGAGGTCGAATTTTTGATCTAAGCTTTCATTGGTTGAGAATTCGATCAATCAGGAACAACCTTCTCTATTTTGCCTGTTTTGCGCGGTTTGGTGAAAACTGACCATAGGTTATCGAGGGCTAGGAGTGTGAATCTAGGATCGGATTTTTCATTGGAGTATCCACTTGTCAAAAAGCTGGCCAATGAAAAAGAAGTTTTACTTGTTTCAAAGAAATTTTTCTCCTGGTTCCCCACAGGTCAATTTTGGCTAGGAAAAATTTTTCGCTATATCTTATATGGATAGATGCAGTTTTTCATGTTGATTCCGAATATCGTATTTATTTTGATTTACCATTAGGTCATAGCAATGCAAACCGCTAAAAATGTTTGTATTCTATTGAAAAATCACAAAAAAAGCCACGAAAAATTCGAAGGTGTAAGCCCTTTTTTACATCAAACCTTAACTTTTTTTCGAACATTTTTTTACCATTTTGCAGAGAATAAAATGTTGCACAACATATAAAAAATTCAGTCTGGGGACTCTTGATTCTAAAACACAGCAGAAGATACACTGTTTTATTTAGACTGATCAAAATGACTATCTTTGACTCATATTAGCTTTATAAACCTAGAACTGTTAGAGATTATATTATATCAAAATAGCTTATTTTGTTCAGCTTTTAATTCTCTATCTTCTCATATATACCGTGAAAATTTTCAATCTGTTGAAACGTGAGCTGATACATCTTTTATAGGATTTTTTCCCAAAAAGGTGTGATATTGCTAAAAGTCGGTATTGACTAACTTTTCGTAGGAAGGGTCTTAGAACCTAAAATTTTAGGGTTAGTAGTTTTAGACATTGAAGTTTTGAATGAGCAAAAAAAATCGAAAAAGAAATTTTATCGGGTGCCTCGTATATTGGAACGATGCTAGATCAGCTCATGGAAGCTCTCTTAATATTTTATTTTTATAAACCAATCACATTATTTTATTTTATCATTTTGATTTCTTACTTCTCAGGAAGTACTTTTATTAAATTAGATTAATGTTATTGTATTGAAATTCATGATGCATTTAGAGAAACGACGAGTTAGAAGAGGCGCTGCAGACTGACGATGAGTTGGTTGGTTTAATCAAGATGAGAGAGATTTTTTTCAGAAAGATCTATTCAATATTTTATGCATAAATTGAGGGTATTTAAACCAAACTATGCAAAATTCTTACCATGCACGGGTTTATTATGTCGACTAGCACCTAATAAATATTTTTAGTGGAAGAAAGAAATTGGAAATATTATTTACTTAAATAGTCTTCGTTCTTGAAAGATATGCTGCTACATGAGACAATGTTCGTTTAGGTCATGTGGTCGAGGAAATTTTGATTCTTAAATGTCCTTTTTAGTTGTTTTAGAGTGCGATTAAAGGTGCTCTGACTCTCGATTGTGAACTATTAATGCATTTAGAGGAGTTTCTTTTCCTTCTTATTATCAGAAGGGGTTTTGGTTGTTCTACCAGATAGCAAGGTTTACCGTGCACTTTGTTTGAAGAGGCATTAAAATGTCTTACTTACTGTTCCTTGAGTTAGAATATAAAAGCAATGGGTTATGTAAAAAGTAGTAGTCAATACTTCTGCTCTGTATAGTGCGATGTATTCTGTTTACTGGAAAAAAGATTGTTAGATGAAAAGGTGTATGTATGTTATTGTTTTTACTTTTCCTGTCCAAAAAAATGAGATTTCAAATAGCTTCCCTAACAAAAAGCTTCTCATCTCGTATTTATTCAGGCTGAAAATTGAGTCGATCGCATATTTTGCCATGTAGTCTGTGATCGATGAGATTTTTAGATTCCAAATAAAGTCCATCAGATGTCTTTTTGGTGTAGATGTAAAGTTTAGCTGGATTATGGGTGTAACTGTAACCGTTAGGCTGCGTTGGATATGATGAATATCAGTTAGAGATATGAGATGAGTATGGATAGACGTTAGTCTTCTCTGTCTTCTTGCACACACCCACACATTCATTACGAAAGATGCGGTATAAAAATGATCATGCTATTCACTTATCTTGATGAAGAAAAGTTTATAAATTTATTCATAAGAATATCTGATGCATAAACTAAAATTGAAAAGGTTTTTTTGTCGATAAATTCTTCAGAAATCTTCTAGGTTTTCTTTCAGAAAAGGGTCAGCAAATCCGTAGGATGAGCGCTACCTTGTATATAAAAATGTTCAATCACTTGGTTTATCATCAACTTATTTAGATAATATTATGATACGTTGTGTTATTAGACAAATGATGGGACTAGCTTTAGTACCTGAACAATATGTTCCATCATTATTTGCAAATCTTGGACAAGAATTAAATGATTCTGAACGTGATGAATTAAGTGATTGATTCAAATATTTTAATGATTATTAGATACGACAAATATTTGTATGGAATCTGTTCGACATCCCCGAAAAAACTAATCATTTTAGCAAAGGTATGGGAAGCAGTATGTCAGCTATAATTTGTAGCTAAAACTCGTATATTTTTAGGATATAACCATAGGTTTAAAAGACGTTTAAATAAAACTCGTTCTAATATATGGATGTTTATTGACTCACTCCGAAAAGAAGTTAATACGATTCACGATTTAGTTATTCAAATAAATAGTGGAATGGGTCTTCGTACAAAACGAATTAAGTTTCGAATTGCTGAACAACGAACTAAAGAATTATATGATCGATTCAATAATAACCAAATTAAAGTGGAAGAATTATTACGTGGACTTTCTCTTTTTGTTGTAGATGCGAAATAAAATAAAAACTCAACTCGTTATAAATTAAACTACCTGATGAACGTTATCATCAACCATTCGAAATATTTTAGTTAAAGGATATTTTCATAATAGAGAACATTTTTCCTGAGAACTATACCACTAAGGACTATTTCGCAAAGACATTTAATCTGAATGACATTTAATCCGAAGGATATGTTTTCAAGGACGAAAAGTCGAAGAACGTTTTATAAAGGACATTTTTTGCAAGGGCATTCTAATATGTATTTCTGCGCGACATGGGGGCATTTAATCATTGGTTGAAACGAAATCGAGGGTATTTGAGCTATTTGTTTCTATAGAATAGATTTTTTTCGAGCTGCGGGACATGGGGGGCATTTAATCATTAGTTGAAACGAAATCAAGAGTATTTGAGCTATTTGTTTCTATAGAATAGATCTTTTCCCGAGCTGTGGGTCATGGAGACATTGAATGATTGGTTAAATATTTTGTGTTAGCAAATTCGTTGTTAAAAACTTGAAATTGAATGACTTGTGTTATTTAGAATAGCAGCTGATCTGTTTTTCGATTGGTTGAGTAATAATTGAACTATAAATGGATTGTTGACTATCTGTTCGATAGACTTATTGTGAGAAAGTTTATCAATGTCAGATTGTAGTTTAGAATTTGGAATACTCATTCTTTATAATTTATGTAATTAAAAGCAAACAGACATAGAAGTGTTTCTTGATTGGATGTTCCATAGCAATGAATATCCATCAATTAATTATAAGGAAATGAATAAAATTCATAAAATGTTAATAGGCACTAAATAAGAACGGTTAAAAATGAGAATTTTCTATATTTAAATATTTTAAAATAATTCAAAATAAATCATAGAAGCTCGATCAATGATTTAGAATCGTTAAAATTACAAAAATTGAATACAACAGTAAACAAACATTAATCAGCATGTGACCCATACTATCAACATGCATTCCAAACCCAACTGAATTCTCATGTCAACCGTGACATACATCTAATTTTCTTCTTTAACAATTGATTGACATAATAGAGTAGAGTTCATTTCCAAGGCCATATGAATGATACCTTTGATTTTATATTAAATTTAAATTCCAAAGAAATAAATTTATTTCTCGATGCATACATAAGTTGAAAAAAAGACACCATCCTAAGTAAATATTTTTGCAAATTTTATTTACTGAGTCATACAACAAATCGGATCCAATTACAAAGCTTAAATTAAAGAGAGAAAAAAAACAACTTGCTTAAATACTGATGATGATTTCGAATTTAAGAAGATTTATAAATATACATATTTACTAATCTATATATCGTATCTGCTTTGTTACCTGATTATTTATATATAAAATATTAGCTTCGATATTTTTTTGATTTCGATTTATAAAAGGTAAAGCAATAAGCTTTATATTCATTTTAATGTAATTTATTATAGAAATCATTGTAGCTAGTCTCTTCTTCTTTTTTCTTTTCAAAGATGGAAAAAAATATGTATATATCATTTCTTATAAATGATTTCTATTTTTGAAGACAATCATTCAAGCACTTCTAATGTTTATTATTAACAGTTCTAGAAAACAAATGATGTTCGATAATTAAATCATTATGATTTTGTTTTTGCAATAGAGAAACTTTACATATATTATTCAAAGTGCTACATACAAGTAGATTAATTTGAATATGAAAGTAGTAGATTCATATAGGTGATTGAGTATGTTTTTATTTATACTATCACGCAAGGGATTCAAATGAAAAACATTTAGTTATTAGTAATAAGATATGATCTTTAATCTATTGTAATATTTAGTAAAACATCAAAGTGAGAATATGACGCCAAAAGAAGAAATACTTGATTAAGACTTGATAGTAGTGTGTTGAAAAAAAAAAGTAACATCCGTGTATCGTGAGAATTTATTAATAGAAAAAAAAACAAACTATCCAATCGAGTATGTATTTAAGTTTTATTGGTATTCTTTTCTAATTAACAAATGATATACATTCAAGAAAAAAAAAGGAAAAATATAATTATGAATTGTTGTTTGTTTGAATTTTGTTTTTTTCTTCGATTTATAAATTGATTTATTGATCGAAATATATATCATCATGTTTATGTATTAATAAAGTTAGTATATATGATGAATAAATTTTTTTTTTTTGGTCTTCATTTATAATTCTTAGAAAAAAAATGAAAGTCACCTTGAAACGTCATTATTATTGGTAGTAAATGGCACTCACCAATATTAGGAAAAGGTATGTCTTGATAATTCTATACACGAATATATTAAGGAAAAGAAAACGTCCTTTCATTTGAAATCTTGTTCATTATTAAGTAACTTCTTTAATTTTTTATTTTTCTTTTATCATACACTACTCTTCAATTACATGTCACTGAAATGTTCTTGATATTGTGTATGATAGATGATAAAGACAACTTATGCCTACCTTTGCATGTTGGTTAATAATAATAAAAAGAAATATTATCCTTGTTTTCCACAATGGTTTATTTATTAATTGTGAGAATATAAGCAGATGGAAGATTGACACTACTTGACCTTATTTATTATATTTGTTTTTTTTTTAATTTTTTTTCTTAAGTAGACCACTTAATTTTTCACTATAATATAAAGACAAGCTTTTCTGGACTTATCTAAGCTTGATAAATATTATTTGTTTGTCTAATAGAACGATTTTTTTCCCTAGTTGTCCTTTCGTCAATACTTATGCATTAGAAGTATTTGAAGCTTTTATATCTGAGAACCGTTATCGAATTTCAAATAAATAATCATTTCATTTTTTTTTCGATTACCCTCTCGAAAAATAACCTCAATTATAATACCTTTCTTCTTTTTTTTTTCTATTTAATAAAAAAAACCTTTCTATTATATCCTTTTTACCTTTTTCTTTCATTCATTTTGACATTGAAAATTTTGACTAGTAACTTTTGAATATAAAAGTAAGTTTTGATTGATAATTTCTTTTGCTATCTAGACAAAACTTGTTTCGTCCTACAATTTTTTTTTTTTCGTTGTGTGTAAAATCATCTAGATAAAGATAAGTGAAACAAACCACACCTAAAAGAAAGAAAAAATTTTGTTACATATTTTGATTAGAGGTAAGTATTTTGATGTCAAAATGATTATATTCTCAAGTCACTAAAAAAGAATATCCTATCATTAGATTTTCTTTTTAATCATTAATATATAACATCTGAAATTTAATCTTTACTCTTATTACAAAAAAAAAGAACGATTATTATGAAGATATATAAATACTTCAAATAATATTTTTTTTTTTTTTTATGTTAAAGTAGACTTGTTGATAGCCAACTTCATCTGTTTTAGCTTCCTTGAACAACTCTTCTTTCTTTTATTTTGTTTTGTCTGTCCTTGATATAGATTACAATTATCAAGTGCAACAATTCCTATATTTGATTAATCATTATGTTCTTTACATATTAATTGCGTCATACATATTTTTACAAGTAACACTTATTAATCTTGTCTTTTCTTTAAACGTTGTAATTCGAAAGTATATAATTCTTCTTTTTTTTTTTCTAGAATACTCTTTGCTCTCATTCTTCTTATTTTTTTTGTCTTTTGCATTTCTTTCCGAGATCAGCTTCCTAATCTTTTCTTTCATCATATGTTCTTATTCAATTAAATATAATAATAAATTGCATCATATTGTTCTGAACGCGTATGATGAAATCATGAAAGAGAACTAAGTCAAATGAATTCTTCTTCATTGTATGCAAACAACTTCTTTTTTTTTTAATTTATTTTAATCATGTACGCCTACACATTTATTTTTATTCTTCACTTGGAAAAACGATATACAATATAGATCATCATTATTTTTCCATTTTCG